GTACTATAGCATTATAAGTGAACTATGTTTTTTCCGTGGGTTTGCGAAATCACAGCAAACAACAATTCACTGCCCACACATCTTACGAGAGACTTTTCAGAATTTGAAGATGAACAAAATTATTCGTTAGCAATAATGAAATAAAGAAGGTTAAATATTGTCGACAGCTTTACCAACAATGATCCCGACTGTACATTTTGCGTAATTGTATTGCTGTATTACGCGTTGTTAGTAAATAGTATGCATTTTTCCTTTAAAGCTATTCCCAACCGGATATTATGCTGCTCATTATCGTGAACAAAATACCAGTTTGCTCACATTCAAGCAACCTACAAGCATGGGAGCCAGGCAACATTGTTTGATATTAGACACGCCGCGTAAAGCCCATGATTAATGAATGCACTTGTGAACAATACCAATTCAAAAATTGTACTGAGTAATATTCCTGTTTGCTAACAGGACGACATTAATCATGCACTATACCACCTGCCAGGTAGAACAATAGACTTAGTTGAAATGTGACTTTATAAGTTTCGGGGTCATTTGTTTTCTAGAAACAATACCGTAGATAGCGTGGACGCCCTCTATCTGAAAATTTTAACTGTTTGTATTATCAGAAAAACTAGAGTAAAATTAGTCTCCAAGAAGTTATTGTGTAACTGAAGAAAATGTTGATGTCACCGCATGGCCATTTTATAACCTGTTGTTTTTTATAGGATAAAGTACGGTTGACATTTTTTCAAGGATATCACCTCGTCGCTTGCCAAATAATTATACTATTAAGCTTGCTTAAACTCCAAATGCATTATATTTTCAGAAACAGGATAAACATATGAGGATCGTAAAAGTTGCATGAGCGTAGTCCAATATTGCACCAGTAGTGCAATTGCTGCAGGCGGAGATTTTTGATCGTCTCCAAGGAGACTGTGTTAATATTCTTTGGATAAGGGACGGTTTGGTATTAATCTTATATAGAGCTTAAACAGCATTTTACGTATAAACTTTATGCCAATTAAGTCTTGTCGGTTCACAAATAATATACTAACGCCTTTAAGCTTACAGAAAATGAGTAGTAACTAGTATCTATACACATGGTGGCCGTTCAACTCCGTCGTCCTTGTCTTTGCTACAAAGCCTCTTGCTGAACCTGTATTTCGTGTGATCGGGAATTCGCAGTCGTGATCCGTTTTTGGTAGTATATGTTAATCATTGTAGAACACCTTACCGACTGTGATTGCCTCTAGAAAATGTTTTGCAAATGGTGTTATCAATTAGTAAGCATCATTTACGACATACCTGGCGTATACAGGTTTATGAGGAAACACAAAGCCTGTGGACTGAACGCACTGCCTCTATCACCAACTGTGGTCGACAAACTTTATATTTTATAACACCAAGTAATGAGAGTTCCTGCTTAAAAACATTGTTGCTCTTAAACATTCCGCTGACTCA